CCATCAGGGCGATCTCTGCCTCCGTGGTCACATGGCTGCCTCTCCCTTGTCTTCTCTGTGTGTCTCTCCGGAGCACACCTGTCTCTGGATTTAGGGCCCTGCCAGGTAACGCAGGATGATCTCCTCATCTCAGAATCCTTGCCCTAATTCCATTACGTGCTAAGACCATTATTTCCAACATAAGGTCACATTCCTGGGTCTCGGGGATTAGGATGTGACATATCTTTGTGGAGACCACCATTCAGTCCACTACGGAGGGCAGGTGAGGGAGGAGGTTTTAGTGTTTTTCCAGTCACTTGCTTCCTTAGATATATAATGGCTCTTAGCCACAGGGTTTGCTTTTCCTAGTTTGTTGTTTATAAGAAGTTTTAAAATTCATACATATATATAACTTTAAGTTTTATATAGCTATATTTCCTTTTCTTCCCATCATTTTAGGTTCAGAAAGTCCTCCTCTATTATCTGATAGTCATACATGTTAGAATAAAACCTTAAGAAATTGACTTTTTAAAAAAAATTAACAAATAAAATTGTATATATTTATCACATACAACATGGTGTTTTGAAATATGCATACACTTTACATTTTGAAATATGAATACAGAATGGCTAAATTGAGCTAATATATGTATTACCTCACATAGTTACCATTTTTTTGTACTGAGAAAACATCTCTTAGCAGATTTCAAGAACAAGCACATTATCATTAACTATAGTCACCTTGTTGTACAATAGATCTCTTGAACTTATTCCTCGTGTAACTGAAATTTGTTTCCTCTGACCAACATCTCCCTCCTTCCCCCCCACCCCTTAAGAAATTGACTTTTTAATCCAGCGATAACTTGTTTTGATATTGCCATGAGGTATCTGCACTTTGAGAAAATAGCTGGCCTCTCCATGTAATAAGATTTCGTAGCCCTATATACACACAAGCATGCAGAGAGAGCGGGACAGCCAGGGAAATCCGAGTGAGGCCACAGCGCTGTGGATTCCACCGTGCTGGGTCAGCTCCCTGGTTTGGTGACCTGCAGTAGTAGTTGCCTCAGATGCCACGACTGGGCGATGGTGCAGGAGGGTCCTCGGGACTTGGATGCGCTGTGTTTGTAACTTCTTGTAGGGATCTATAATTATTTAAAATAAAAAATTTGAAAAGCAAATTAGATTTACCAGTACCAGTTATTAAATCATTTATTCTTTTATTTGTAAAACATCCTTTATTAAATTGTGACACGCACTAGAATGTTTTAGAGTTGTGTTTAGAATTTAAGTTGGGAAACACTGGCATCGTGTGATACACGTGTTGTATCTTCCTCCCAGGAACGTGGTGTATTATCCTGTTTATTCAAGCCGTGTTTTATCTTTCGACAAAATGTGTGTGGTGTTCTTCAGCTTATTCATAGATACTTTTTAAAGGTTTTTTTTTGTTATTATGGATGAATCTTTCTTCCATTTGTATTCCGTAACCAGCTTGTGCTGGTTATATGTCACTGAACAGAACCCCCACACCCTTTCAAATAGATGGAATTCTTTTAACTAGGGAAATGCTTTTCTAATGCCATTAGAGACAATGTTTAACAGGCGTCTTCGTTCCTTTAAGCCTGCGCTCAGGAAGGGTATGGTCATTTATTTACTCTATAATGTGAATTTAAGTAGCTGTGTTCTCCGTCCAAGTGTGTGCATGGAGGCTTGTAAAGACATAGGAATTTGTGTTCCGTAATTTTCATGCTAACTGTATTTTCCTGGATTCTGTTTCTTTGAGAATTGTAGAGGTGCTGTCTCTGGAGGGCTCACATGGCAGTGTTGCCTGCATGGCGTGTTGCCTGGAGTGTCCTAGGCCCGGCCAGGCTGGTGGACAAACTGGCTGTCAGTCCAGAGAGTGGGCTCGCCTGGCCATGGACTCTCTTCTCTGCTTTGCTCCTTGGCCCTGAGGCCTGGGTGGGCACTGCGGGTGTTGAGAAGCCCGCCAGCTGGGGAGCCCCAGATAGCCCCAAATGGAAACATTCAAATGGAAAATGTACCGTTGATCCCCATGCAGGTCAGTCCTATGAAATCCGACTGCTGGAGAACCGGAAGCTGGGAGACTTTCAAGATCTGAACACAAAGTATGTCAAGGTAAGCCTCGGGCTGCTCTGGCCGTGGGGGGCTTGGCTGGGGTCAGCGTACCTGGGCTTGCTGGGGAGTGGCTGGGAGGTGGGGGAAGGCTTCAGAGGGAGAGGCCCTTTAAAAGTATCTATGAATAAGCTGAAGAACAACCACACACTTTTGTCGAAAGATAAAACACGCTTGAATAAACGGATACACCACGTCCTGGAGGAAGATACAACACGTGTATCACACGATGCCAGTGTTTCCCAACTTAAATTCTAAACACACTCTAAACATTCTAGTGCGTGTCACAATTTAAAGGATGTTTTACAAATAAAAGAATAAATGATTTAATAACTGGTACTGGTAATCTAATTTGCTTTTCAAATTTTTATTTTAAATAATTTAGATCCCTACAAGAAGTACAAACACAGTGCATCCAAGTCCCGAGGACCCTCCTGCACCATCGCCCAGTCGTGGCATCTGAGGCAACTACTACTGCAGGTCACCAAACCAGGGAGCTGACCAGCAGGGTGGATCCACAGCGTGTGGCCTCCACTCGGATTTCCCTGGCTGTCCGCTCTCGTCATGCTCTGTGTGTATATAGGCTAGGGCTACGAAATCTTATCACATGGAGAGCCAGCTATTTTCTCAAAGTGCAGATACCTCATGCAATATAAAACAAGTTATCGCTGGATAAAAGTCAATTTCTTAGGGTGGGGAAGGAGGGAGTGTTGGTCAGAGGAACAAATTTCAGTTACACGAGGAATAAGTTCAAGAGACTATTGTACAACAAGGTGACTATAGTTAATGATAATGTGCTTGTTCTTGAAATCTGCTAAGAGATGTTTTCTAAGTACAAAAAAATGGTAACTATGTGAGGTAATACATATATAGCTCAATTTAGCCATTCTGTATTCATATTTCAAATGTAAGTGTTGCATATTTCAAACACCATGTTGTATGTGATAAATATATACAATTTTATTTGTTAATTTTTTAAAAAGTATTTTTAAGGTTTATTCTAACATGTATGACTATCAGATAATAGAGGAGGACTTTCTGAACCTAAAATGATGGAGAAAAGAATATAGCTATATAAAATTAAAGTTATATATATGTATGATTTAAAAACTTCTTATAAACACAAACTAGGAAAAGCAAACCCGTGGCTAAGAGCCATTATATATCTAAGGAAGCAAGGACTCCAGTTAAAACTCCTCCCTCACCTGCCTCCGTAGTGAACTGAATGGTGGTCCCACAAGATATGTCACATCCTAATCCCGAGACAGAATGTGACCTTATGTTGGAAATGGTCTTAAGCACGTAATGAATTAGGGCAAGGATTCTGAGATGAGGAGATCATCCTGCGTTATGGCAGGACCTAAATCTCAGGACAGGTGTGCTCCGAGAAGACACACAGAGAAGACAAGGGAGAGGCAGCCATGTGACCACGGAGGCAGAGATCGCCCTGATGGGGCCGGTCAGGAATGCCTGGAGCCAACCAGAAGCTGTTAAGGCCAACAGCGTGTCCCCAGAGGAAGGTGGCCCTGCCAGATTTCTGACTTCTAGCCTCCAGAACTGTGAGAGAATATATTGTTATTTTAAGTTAGGCATTTAAGCAACTCGACACAGCAGCCCAGGAAACCCACTCCTCACCACGGAGAACAGACCAGGCGACTGAGTAACTCATTCAAATCTGCGAGCACAGCCAACCAGAGGGGAGCCCTCGGCAGGGCGGTGAGCAGAGCGCGTGGTCTGGAGCTCACTCAGGGCCCCGCTGGGCCTGGCACGACACTGCGAGCCACGCAGCCACTCAGCCAGCCTCTCTCTCCACTCTGCAGAGGTGTAGACATGACCGGCCAACACTTCCTGACCGCACCAAGCCCAGCAGTGCGCAGGGTGATGTGCTGGCGCAGTCCCTGCCGGAGGGAAAAGGCACAGACCAAACTCTCGTCTGCCACCGCCCTTGAGAAAGCAATGACTCATGAAAGAAAGCGTCCTGCTGACCTCATCAACACATCTAACTTCTGGAAAAGCCAGATTTAAAGATACACTTCTAGGATCCTGAACTCCCTCCTAAGTCCAACACTCCTTCGACATCAACATAAAAATGCCTCCTGCACCCAAACTGGTTTTTCCAGTGTCCTCTGCCTTCCCTGATGAAGAATGCAGACAGGACGGCTTGAGGCCCAAGGTCCCAGTGGTCATTACTGGGAGTTTACAGGCGCCCCGGGTCCAATGTTAAACTGCAGGCTCTGCATGGGCAACCTCAGCTCACACCGAGCAGGAGGCACCTCCTGTCCTCACAGAGTCTCCAGCAAGAACACAAGGGACGGCACTCGGAACAGAGCTACCGCGTGAGGCTGTGGGCCTGGGATCCCGGCTTCTCCTGGGCCAGGGACGCAGCCGCGTGACCTCCCCCCCAGCAGCAGGGCCTGTCCTGGTCATACGCTCCACACCTCATCTCCTCCTCACCTTCTCCTCTCTCACACACACTCCAGGGCCCCTCCCCGCTGGCTCAGGCTGCAGGTGGACGTCCAGCCATGCTCCAGCCTGCCTCTAACGCCAAACACGGGACCACGATGACTCCCAGCCCACTCACACCGTGCCATGGGCTGATGGGTAAGGCTGTGTAAGCGGAATTGACCTAGGCGCGTGGGCATTTTTTCTCCCTAGCCAGCACCAGTTCTGGGTGAGCAGGAGCCATGGAAATGGGACTGTCAAGTCACAAGTCATGTCTGTCTCCCACCACTGCACTGTGGCACACTGCAGGTGCTCAGCAAATGCTTTCCAAGTGACTGCCCTGTCCCTGCAGTCGCCATTCCCTGCTAGAACTACAGGGTTTGCAAAGTACGGCATGCTCCTGCTCTCAAAGGGTTGG